CCACAAGGACTTCAGGACTCCTTTGGCTATGGCCTAATTTTCCTCTCACTGAAGTGAGAATTGAGAGGTCTGTACAGAGAATGTGAACATGACTTTCAGGGTTAGGTCATTAAAGATTGTTGTTGGCTTCCTCCTGGTTTTGTCTTTGGATCGCTTTCTCCAGGGGAGCCAGCTTCCATGTCCTCCTGTCAACAACAGCAATCACTTGCCAGGAGCCTAAGTCATTTCAGCAGTGAGTAGTCTCCCATCCCTGTTGTCTTAGTTACGGTTTATATTGCTGTGAAGAGACATCATGACCACAGCAACTCGTATAAAGGAAACATTTCACTGGGGTGGCTCACTTACGGTTTCAGAGGTTCAGTCCATTATCATGATGGGGAGCATGGTGGCATGCAGGTAGATGTGCTGCTGGAGTAATAGCTGAGAGTCTTACATCTTGCAGGCAACAGGAAGTTGACTGAGATACTGGGTAGTATTCTGAGCATAGGAAACCTCAAAGCCCACCCCTACAGTGATACACTTCCTCCAACAAGACCATGACCACTTCAACCAAGCTGCCCCTCCTAAGAGTGCCACTCCCTATGAGATTATAGGAGTCAATGACATTCAAACTACTGTAGGGGACCAGCTGGGAGACCAGCGCTCACACTTTACCCCAGGGTATGCTTAAGGAGAAAGGGACAAGAGATTTAGATAGAAGGATAGAGGGGAGAGAAACAGAAACACAGGACAGCCTCAGGAGGGCCTGAATCATTATCCACCAGCCCCTTCAGTCTCTTCTAAAAGACTGTTTATAGGAATGCCAAGGGGTGGAGCAAAAGACCACCCCCTAGGTCAGTCAATCACCTAGAAACCAAACACATAGTCAAGCAATCTTATAATGCAGCTCTGCTGGGTAAAGCAAGCTCAGATCTCACTAGGAGACCTTTGTGGGCCTCCCCAAACTACCACACCTGTCAAGCCAATGGGTGACTGCCACCTGTGAGAGCCTCTGTACAAGAATCACCAAGATAAGATTCCTCATCGCCACTCTGGATTCCTCATCCACAGAAACCATGGGAAATATTGTTGGTTTCAGCCACTGAATTTTGGGGCTAATTTTTAAATACAATAATAGCTATCTAAAATCAGTATGAAAGGGAGAAAAGATAGTGGAAGGATTTTGATTTTTAAATTTTGTTGGTATATGTGTGTATGCAGAAACGTGTGTATGCTGGGGATCAAACCCAAGGCCTCACATATGCTGAACAAATACTCTACCACTGAGTTGTGATCCCAGCCCAGCATCTGTAATTTTTAAATAAAATTAAAAAATAGGTGGCATATGCCTTTAATTCCAGCACTCTGGAGGCAGAGGCAGGCAGATCTCCGTGAGTTCGAGGCCAGTCTGGTTTACAGAGCGAGTTCCTGGACAGCCAGGGCTATACTGAGAAACCCTGTCTTGAAAAACACAAACAAACCAGCCATTAGGTTAAAGGACAGGGGCCTGGGAGATGGCTTAGTAGATAAAGCACTTCTGGTGAAAGCGTGAGGACACAGAGTTCACGTCATTTTCATCCACACAATCCTGGACATATTAGACAGCCTGTCACCGCTGCCTTCAGGAGGCATCGAGAAGGGAATTCCAGGGGCAAGCCAATGATCTAGACCATCTATGCTAGCCAAATCTGCGCACTCCAAGTTTAGGAAGAGAAAACAATGGAGGAAGACACTGGACATCAACTTTGGGCCTCCACGTGCACATGCACACACATGTGCATGCACCCACACACATTCAAACATGTGTGCACACACACCACATACACATACTGATAATAATCTTTGAAAGATACGAAGGCGAGCTTTAAGAAAAATATTAGTTGATCATTTGCAGAAGAATAATACACAGCTCTTAAAAATTTGTGTGGGCGGTGGTGGCGCACGCCTTTAATCCCAGCACTTGGGAGGCAGAGTCAGGTGGATCTCTGTGAGTTCGAGGCCAGCCTGGGCTACCAAGTGAGTTCCAGGAAAGGTACAAAGCTACACAGAGAAACCCTGTCTCAGAAAACCAAAAAAAAAAAAAAAAATTGTGAGACACTCTCCAGCCAGGTGTGGGAGGGCCTGCCTGTGACCCCAGTACTCAGAGGTAGAGACCAGAGGTCACAAGTCCAGCCTTGGTTGCACAGTAAAACTTGGTCTCAAAAAAGTACAATAAAGAAGGAGAAAGAGAGAGAGAGAAAGGGAGGGAGAAAGGGAGGAGGAAAAAAACACTAGTTATGGAGACTGAATATGTAGAGAACTAGGCCAAAAATATGTCTGTTTCTAGTGAAATAAAACATGATATATTGCCAGTCATCAATCACTATTATATTTTTCTGGCTGGATATTACTCAGTCATCCCTGACTACAGAGGAGGAAGCCCCAGAAGGGCATTTCTCTCTGTTCCACAAACATTTATGTTTATGTTCATGAAGGACGAGAACCCCCTTTGACTTGTTCCCCCCCCCCCCCTTAGAGAATCAGTCATTCAGCTTGTGGTTCTGCTCAGTGGTAATGGCACCAGCCATGATGCTAACCGAAACTGCTTTCTCACGGCCTCCGTAGCCTTCCTTTGGGTGTACCCACCAGAACGCCAGGGTTTGCCCTCCCCTCCCGTCATTTCTGCTGTTTAACCAATTGTTTTCTCTCCTTTGTCCTTCTTGGGCAAACCCAGCAAATAGGCTGTATACTAAGGACTTCCTAGAAAAATACCATTAGCTTAATGACTTCCCCTACTCATAGTTACATTTAATTCCTGTTGAGCTAATGGTACCAGGGGGCTGATGTCTGCATCCTGGAACAAAAATTCCCATCATTTTTCCCTGCCCCCCACTTAAAAACATTCTTTAGCTCTTACTGAAGCTAAAAGCCCCAGACTTCTCTGAGTATTGTATGCGCTGTTAGATGGATTTTATGCACCAGCCAGATTTTGTTTAAAGTAAATATTAATCTTGCCTGGTATATAAATGAAACATCTGCAATTTTCTGTATGTAATGATACCATCAGGGGAGGAAGGGGCATGGAGGGGGGGGAGGGAGAAATCATTAAAGACGGAATATTCGGCTAAGACAAAGGAATCTAGACAGAGACCAGCTGTCTGAAAAGTTGAAGTAATTGTTCTCCTTGAGTTACATCACCAGCCCAAGTTGGGGTGCTGGGAGCCATCCCAGTCACGGTCATTCTGGCTAACCACCCAAGTAGTGAATTCATTCTCGGTATTCAGACGTAATGGCGTTGAGACAGGAACCCGACACCTATTTGACACACTTACTTATACAACCTGTTAGTCAAACAGTTCTCCCGATAGCCTTCCCTCACTCCCCTTTGTAACATAAAAAAGGCACTAGAACTTTCCCAGAAACCAGCCAAGGCCTACTCTGTTTTGACTGTGAAAACCAGGCTTTCAGCTATGGTCTATTTTATGGTCCCTTTGGATTATGGGGGGCAAATGGGATGAAATAAATCTGGAATAAACTGGTTCGGACAGCGCCCCGCTTGCGTGGATTGATTTGGCCCTGTGATGACTTTCTTGTTTCTCGGCTGGAATGCTTCAAATATGCACTTAAGTCCCCCACAGAAAAAGCTGCTAATGTAAATGGATGTGTGTTTAGAATGGACCGCCACCTTAGCCTTCCCTGAGATGCAAGAGCAGGAAAACACCAAAGATCAGCTGGAATAACTTCTTCGGTTTCTTCCTTTCAATACTCGAGGTTGCAGAGTTCAGATTTTCCCTGTCTTCTTCTGGCTCTATTTATCCAGGTGACTTCAATTTTAGCTATTAAAAGAAGGGGTTGACCCTCAACTCTAGGACATTCCTCTTAGAGTTGAGTTTTGACTCCTGTGCCCAACTGATTATTGGAGTCTTTGATAATCATCTTCAACAGTGATTTTCATCTTTAAAGGTCTATAGGAATACAAAATTATATAAACAAATACCTGAACTCATTTACAATGCTCTTTTTAGTTCTAAAATGCATTTCATCAGCGAATCTGGGGACAGGATGCATGCTCAGCGGTAGAATGCATGTCTAGCATGCTTGAGTCTTTCGGTTCAATCCATGCACATGCGCACACACACAAAGTATTATAAAACAAAAAAAAATGAGAAGCAGTGGAAAAATAATAATTTATGACTCACACAAATATTGCTCTATTAGACTTAATCAGAGGCGAGGCAGTACCTTGATCTGGCCACATGCAATGTTGCTCTCATGTAGATGCTGCTGTGTGTGTACACCGCACCAGTAGTTCAGTAGAAGTCTGAAAGGCGCCCTTTGCATGGAACATTACATTGTAAGAATCTTTAGGTACAATTTTCTTTAAAAATAGCATTTTATTTCTTCATTTTTTCTAATTTGTCTTAGAATATACTTAGAGAAAGCTAAATCCAGTTACATCAACATTTCCAACGTTAGCTGAATATGTGGTCTCGCTGTTTGACTCTGTAATAATTGTAGTAAGTCATGGTTGAAACCCCGTTTCATAGGCTTAAGGGGTCATTCTTAAATTACATCCCTGGCAGAAGCAGGTCAATGGTTCTCAACCAAGCTCGGCCAGAGACTTCTACAGCCAATCAGGCTCTGTGGTGCTTTGGCGCATATTTCACTCCCAATCGCCGGTTCCCTCCAGAATGTCCATACCCGGAGCTAGCGATTGCGTGCGCGCGCGCACACACACACACACACACACACACACACACACACGTTAAATGGATTCCTCAAAACTGCAAACACTGCTGAGGGGTGGACGGTGAAAATCGAGGCGCAGCCAAGAGAGCTCTTTCACACAACTGGCCACCACCCTGGATGACGGGAGGCTTCGGAAGTGGATCCCTCGAAGGCCTGTGAGGGCCAGAAATAGAACAGTGTCGCCTCTCAATTCCATGGCGCTGTCTGCCTGACCCACTTGGCACCTCTAGTGCCCCGTTCTCCAAAATCCTGCCCTAGTCCGCTTTTTCTTTGTGTTCTGGTGGATAGCTTTGCAGCCTCGGCCAGGTTAGTTTATTTGGTCACTTCCTTATACTATACAAGGAAGAGGGGCCCCTGTGGCCCCAGGGAGAGAAGAATTTATGTATTTAGGTATTTCTCTTCTTATTTGTTTTTATTTTGATACAGGTTCTCAGATAGCCCAGGTTAGCCTGGAACTCTGTAGTTTGAGGCTTGCCCTGAACTCAAGATCCTCCTGCCTCTATCTCCCAAGTGTAGGGGTAACGAACAGGCACCCCCACTCCCAGCTTGGATTTCTTATTTAATAAGCCCCTTTCTCCACCTTCCGTTCCTCTGCTCTACCCTACTCCCAAGGGTTTGGGGCTGTGGGCAACTGAACAAATTATACTCGGAAAGTATTTAGGAAATCTGAAGAAACTGAAACCAATACTCATATTAGAGAGAATGCCTTTCAAATTGTTTGGTCTGCTCATCTGGGAAGTGACGCTAAATAGTGCTAGACTTTGTTGTGAGAATGAGGGAACACAGGCTAGGAAGGACCATGGCTCAGGATATTAGGGTCACTCACCCACTCTCTCTGGCGCCCCCTTTCCGCCACACGGGGGGATTTCACTTTATGGCCCAGTTATGGTTGCTGGCACCATGCAGCTGGGTCCTGCTAAATATGAAGACAACCAAAGCAACATACACTTAAACTGCCAGAACCTTTAAGACCCGATTTCCCCTTGGCCCTGATGACAGGCCTCATTCAAGATGGAGACGGCTCCCTTGGCTTGGGTTTGGTAGTTACCATGAGGAGTGTGTACCACCTGGCCGCCAAGGCACCGGGGGAATGAACAAGAAGCAATTTCATCTCCAGCCACTGAGAGTTGGGTGCTGTTCCTCCTTCCGCATGACTGACGTCATGTTGTTTTTCTCCTGCTGGAAAGCCAAGTGTACAAGAGTAAACTGCTTTGGGTGTCGCAGACTAACCCTTGGGAAAGCATCGAGAAACCTCCCAATGTCTTTTTTTTTTTTTTTTAATTTTGGTTCTTCTCTTGGGAGAAGGACATATCCTCCCCCTCCCACTGCCAGTCTTACTTTTTAATGTATTAAAATGTTCCCGAATACCAGAGAAAATAACTCAGTATGTTTGTAGATAAAAATAAGAAAGCATCTCTTGGAAATGATCATTGCTTTCCTGAAAATAAAGTTTAATTTGGGAAATAAAGATCATGTTAGCTAAAATATTTAACTGCCTTATTCCCTCCCCTCTTGTAATACCAGTTCTATATTTTTTTCCTTATTGGGGGGTGGGCAGGTAGAAGCAGGGGATTTGAGACAGAGTCTCACGTAGCTCAGGCTGGTCTTGAATTCCCTCTGTAGCTGAGGTGAGCCTTGAACTCTTCACCCAACCTCCTCCAGCTCCCAAGTGCTGGGCTTACAGGAGTGTGCCACCACTCACGGCTCTTGCCCAGTTCCTTTTCAGTGAATGTTTACAACTAATGTCTGAGAATAACGAGAATGTTTACCAGGCCTAGTAAATTATCAGTAACTTTTTGCAGACTTTACCATAACTAAATTTCAGAACAGTAACTAGGAACCTCTTCTTGGCTCACTGTAGTGACTGTTGGCATCGTTACATCCTGAGGTCAAGATATCATTAAAGAGACTTTCTGGAAAAAATAGAAGGCAATCTTTCCTAGGTGTTCTTATTGCAGGGGCATGCTAAGTGTTCAGATTGGGACTGCACTCAGTTGTGAGTGACGGAGCCGGCGCACAAAGGCTGAGTTAGGTAGAGTTCCTTTTCCTTAGGTAAGAAGTCTAGGAGCCCGCATGGCAGAGCATGCCTGTCATCTCAGGACCTGGAGGGTGAGGCAGGGTGGAGAGTTCTAGGTCGGCCGTGGGCTACAGTAAGAGACTCATCCTTAAAAACTGGCAGATGTCTGGAGGTGGGCAGTTCACTGTGAAGGAGAACAATGGACGGGAGACATGCTGGCTGAGTGTCCCCATCTGAGAGTCTACTGCTTTCCTGGACGCCTCTCGCTGTGGAGGCACTGGACGAGACAGCTGAGCAGAAGCCTACCGGGTGCGAAGGGTGGCATTTTATAGTTGTTGCTGCTGCTGCTGGGTTTTTGTTTGTTTTGCTTTCCTTTCTTTCTTTCTTTCTTTCTTTCTTTCTTTCTTTCTTTCTTTCTTTCTTTCTTTCTTTCTTTCTTTCTTTCTTTCTTTCTTTCTTTCTTTTTCTTTTCTTTTGAGATCAGGTTTCATTTTGTAGCCCTGGTGGCCCTGAACTCAATCACAGAGCTCCCCCAGCCTCGGCCTCCTGAGTGCTGGGATCAAAGCTTTTTGCTGTTGTTTTGCGCAAGGGGGCAGTAGTTTTGAGCTGGTCACTTGACCACTGCAAAGGAAAGCAAAATGCTCCTTCTGTTACTGACAAGGAAGGGCAGAACAGGTGGACAGTTAGCAGTGTCTTCCAGGGGATTGTAAGCACCCTAATCTCAGATATTTATTTTTTTGCTATAAACCTGGGAAGCATTTACGGCTATGTTCCCACTGTGTGCATTAAAAACTGAGGTGCCAAGGCTTACCTCGGACAGGGCCACATACGTGCCGGGCTGTAGAACTGGAAGTTGAACCTCCTTTGGACAACGGTTCTCCTGTAAAGACAAAAGTCGAAGACAGAAACTGGGTCAGGTCTGGAGGCCTTGCTCCTTTAAGCCTCCGACGACTGCCTAATCCATTGCACAGAGAGCCAGCCCAGGGCATGGCCAAGGTCTCTTGGGCAATCTGCCAGCCGGCCCCCCGTGGGAGGCCGTTATACGGTCATTCCTTCCCTGCTGAAACCACACACTCCAGTCGTTCTTAGGCAGCTGTGACATGCATCTGGATTAGCTGGCTTGTGAGGCAGAGTTCATGAGTCCAGGAAGCTGGGCACATCAAAGATCTGCGAATGGACTTAGATGGGGGAGGGGTGGGCAGACGGTATGTCCCTCCTGGCCTCTGGGATCAGGGTGTGTTCCAGACAGGACAGGAGGCACTGTCGACTCTTCGTGAGGAGAATCAGCCGGTGCTGAAGCCGCGAGTGAATATGTACAAAGATCCAGTCATCACAAGGCAGAGGGGGGTCTGTGGTCACCCTGTTATCTTCATTCACTGTTTTAGTTGACTTTAACAGCTCCTGGGCCTGTAGTAAAATACATGAAGTACAGGAACAAGAAGAAAGGCTTGGCTGGAGGCAGGGAAGCAGAGGCACTGGGAGCCAGCCACGGTTCTCAGGTTGTAAAATAAAATCTCTAGACCAATTGGACACTGGCCTGAGGCCACGGCAGTGATTAATGCCAGGGCTGTAAAAAGCGCTAGGCAGGAGCGGTCAGCCAGGTTGCACAGTGCGTCCATGTGAGTTCGTATTGTTTTTCTTTTCTCTTCAAAGCCGCTTAATATGAAACACACAAGCTTCAGTTGTTTTGGCATCTAAAATAAAATTAAAAACTCATTTACTTTTCTCTTCTAATTAAGAACTTAAGCAACTTTCCAGAAGACAAGCCTAAGTAACATGACGCCCCGACCTGGTGACATCATTCTGTCGCCCCAGATCTTTCTTAATATACATTGGTACATTTCACACAGGTGTAATTAGTGGAGTAGACAAACAGTTCTGGGTTCAACTTTTTTCACTTAACCTTGTTTCATGTAGACATTTCCAGACTTATTGGAAACATGTGTTGGAGGGGGTTTCTTTCAGCTGTATTCCGTTACATTGATCTGCCGTGGTCTGCGTCATCCTCTCTTGTTTGTGGGGCATGCGGGCTGCTTTCATGGTTTTGTTGTTAGGAATGATGCTACTTCCAGCAGTTTTTTTATTTAAATGCTTTCTTTTCTGCCTTTGGGTTATTGTGAAAGATTATGTTCTTCAAAAGGCTATGCCTGTGTCAACATTATAAAAAGTCACTTACTTCTTACCGTTGGCTTGTTTGGACTTAGTGTCAACAGCAGTGTGAAAATACACTTGCTTTTCAGTATCGCCAGATGTACCCGTGGTTTATCTGTGTCTCTTAGCTCCATACCTACCCTACTATATTCTCCTTCATAACCCTGGGGCTCGGGGCCTGCAAACTACATCTCCCAGGATTCACTCCCTGGCAGGCTTCACATCAAGTACGGTCAGTAAAAGGTGCCAACAGAAAATTAGAAAGGGAAGGAGGGGGTGCCACACTTCCCTTCCTTTTGACAATGTCACTTCTCCAGAAGAGACATCATTTCTGGATACCTTCTCTCTGGTATTCCCAGCATCCTTTTAGGTGCTCCCAGAGACAAGAAAGAAGTGCAGTTCTGGGCTACTGTAGGATTTCCCCCGCCTTTCAGCCCTACCACCTGCTTCCTGGCCACCTGCTTCCTGGCTCTCTTTCCTTCCTAGTCTCAGGGCCAGCTACCTCTCCCTGTCTGATTTTTAGCTGGTCCAACAATATGGTTTTCCATATCAAATGCTTTCTCTTTGAAAATCCTAAGCAGATCTTTCTCTCTCACTCCCTCCCTTCCTCCCTCCTTCCCTTCCTCCCTCCCTCCCTCCCTCCTCCTCCCTCCCTTCTTTCATTCTTTCTTTTCTTCCTTTATTTCTTCCTCTCCTGTTTCTGTTCGTTTATTTTAAGAAAGATTCTCACCAGGTAGCTCTGGCTGGCCCAGAACTCACTATGTAGCCAAGGCTGTCTCAGACTTGCAGCAGTCCTCAGGCTTCTGCTTCCAGAGTGCTGGGGTTGTAGGCATGTTCCACCCACCATGCCCGGCTCCCTGTCCACCTTTTGACAAAGGAGTTTATTATCAGTTGCTCTGTTCTTCTCTGTTCTGTTTGCAGATGGCTCTAATAAATATTTTAGTTAGACGTCTGCGCCACTCATGTTCAGGGAGAAACAGACAACAGAATTCCAGTAACTTCTTAGTGAGCCAAAGTGCCTGAAAGTCATCTTTGCTGCTCCCTTTGGTCATTTTCATTTTACATCTCCCTGTGATCTTTCCTCTTTTCCTTTCTGTTGTTTCCTGTTATATCAGTGACTGTGGACCTGTTTTTCCAGTACTGTTGTTAAAAGAAATAAATAAATAACTGTTGGGGCTGGAGAGATGGTTCAGTGGTTAAGAACAGTGGATGCTCTTCCCGAAGACTGGGGTTCAATTCCCAGCACTCAAGTGGTGGCACACAAATCATGTGTACCTCCAGCATACACATGGTACACAGACATAGATACAGTCACAACACCCATACACATAGAGTGAATATAAATAAAAACCTAAAAAAAAAAACTGTCGAAGATTGATTTGTTTTGAGACAGGGTCTCTTCATACAGTCCTGGTTGTCCTGGAACTCACTATGTAAACCAGGCTGGCCTCAAACCCACAGAGATCCTCCTGTCTCTGCCTCCTGAGTGCTGGGATTAAAGGCATGTGCCACCACTCTCCACTTGTCTAAGATTTCTTTTTTCTTCTTAATTTTTTTTAAGATTTATTTATTATGTATACAGTATTCTGCCTGCTCGACAAAAGAGGGCACCAGATCTCATTATAGATGGTTGTTAGCCATTGCTGGGAACTGAACTCAGGACCTTCGGAAGAGCAGCCATTGCTCTTAAGCTCTGAGCCCTCTCTCCAGCCCCTAAGATTTCTTAATTTCCCTCTACAGTGTAAAAAAAATTCCACCTGTAACCCACCTTTCCCAGTTGTACATATTTGTTGGTTTACTCTACCTTATCAGATACTTCTTGGAGAATTTTCCCTTTCCTGTTGTAGCCCACTTGCCTTAGTACCAATCAACCAATCCCTACATACCAGGAACAGGCTAGGACTGAATCAGTCCAGCCAGCACGCTCCACACATACTCCCACTTTGTCCTACACTGTTACTGCCTTAGAATTAGACAGTAGATGACAGATTGTCCAGGTGAAGTGATTTCAGGGCTCAGATTTGGGGGCAGATGTGATGTTTCCCTATGTGTCCTGGTTACAGTGGCAGCGTCATGGAATTCCCAGGGTTAACCAGTGTCAGGATGAAGGATGAAGTCAACATAATACATATCTACAGAGGATAAAAGATGCCATTTTTATCAGATGGATCCAGATGACCTTGCTAAACTGCTAAACAGGATCATCCTGTCTGCTTGTTTTTTTAATTAATTTATTTTTATTTTATGTACATTAGTGTTTTCTTTTTTGCATGCATGTATGTCTGTGTGAAGATGTTGCATTCCCTGGTATTGGTGAAATTATTAAGGCCACTCCACATAGTTAAAAGGAAGATTTATTTAGTGGGTAGCTTACAAATGAAGGGATAGGTAGGTCGTGGGGTCTGGGGAAGGTGTATCGCAGTCCAGTGGTGTTCTCTGGAGCTCTGCTCGGTCAACCTCCACCTTCAAGGGTCCAGGAACAGAGAGAGCGCTGGCCCATCCAGATCTTGGGTCTCCTGGAGCCTCCCTTGGCCCCGCCTTGTAGGCGTGACAGTTGCCGAAGCCTCAGTGGGGGTTGGAACTTCCAGATCAAAGCTGGAATGGCTACCCACTACACCCTGGAACTGAAATTACAACAGTTGTGGGCTGCCATGTTGGTGCTGGGAATTGAACCCTGATTCTCTGGAAAAGTAGTTGGTGCTCTTAACCATTGAGCCATCTCTTCATCCCCATTAATTACCCATCCTCTTTTTAAGCTTGCCTTACCTATGGTCTTGCCACTTAAGTGAACTAGTAACACTCTGTTCCTAGCTAAGCTCACTAGAGCTGAGTTTTCTTAGGCTGTCCTGGGAGACTGGTATATCAAGTGATAAGTAGTCATTTTTATTAAGATGCATAAAGTTAAACGTTTGTTCAATAACTGTAATACTTGTTCTACTACCATTTGTTATCTACTACATTGCAAAGTAATTAAAATCATTGTCATTCAAAATGTTTCGGAGATTGGAAGAAGGCACTGGGCTACGCAGAAGTGACATGTTGCTAGAAGCAAGTTTGCTCTAAATGGCTGGTGATTTCATTTGTAGAGTGTCCTTTAGCTCCACCACTGCAGAGAAAGCCTTGGAGTGAAAAGTTTTTAGTCAGAGCCTCCTACCATATAGAGCCTTTCCTCGGAAGCAAACACAAACCCCTCTGTTGTAGAATATTACTTTAACTGTGTAAAGATGTGTTACATTTGTTTATGTTGCAGAATATTACTTTAACTATATAAAGGTGTGTTACATTTGTTTATGCTGCATTTGTTTAACATGTAAAGATGTGTTGCTTTGTTTGCCTAAGGCACTGATTGGTCTAATAAAAATCTGAATGGCCAATAGCTAGGCAGAAGAGGGATAGGTGGGGCTGGCGGGCAGAAAGAATAAGTAGGAGGAGGAATCTCTAGGCTCAAAAGAGAGAAAAGGAGGGAGAAAGAAAGGGAGGTGCCTGGAGACAGCCACAGAGTAGGACATACAGAATGAAAGAAAGGTAAAAAGCCCTGAGGCAAAGCATAGATGAAGAGAAACAGGTTAAATTAAGTTATTAGAGCTAGCAGGACAAGCATAAGCTAAGGCTGAGCATTCATAGCTAATAAAAAGTCTCTGTGTCATGATTTGGGAGCTGGTTGGTGACCCAAAAGAAAGCGTGCTACACCTCTCTCCAAACACTCAGAGCAGTTTGGTGTTTGTCTCTATTACCTTGCCTCTAAACTCATACTCACACTCTACCCTGATAAATATTTTCCCACTAAAGACACTTACCTTCAAGACAGCACAATTCACCTCAGGATGCAGAAAAACATAAGTCACCTTTCCAAAGACTCCTGGCAGGAAAGGGAGAGCTATGCTGTGGATCAAACATGTCTGCAAAGTCCCAGGCCTTTTGATGACACCAACTCTCAACAAGAGAGTTGAAAGATGCTGTGT